ATCACAGAGAAAAGGGGTATATTGTGATGTAAAATAAAGAATAAATAGTTTGATATTCGTTCACTGCTTTCTATGCTATATATGCTTATATACTTCATATGAATTCAATAACGAATACATCTATTACTACACAGTAAAGAAAATCCCACATAACAAAACTTTACTGAGAATAAGCATTTTTCTAGCAAGATAAGTAAAAACTCGTTATTGAAAGCACTGTATTGAAAGCATTGCATTGAAAGGACTATGTTTTTTCCTAAGTAAATAATGAAAATAAAGAAATCTTGAAGAAAAAAATAAGAATAACGGATCCGTCATACCTAACATGATACGAGGGCCTTTTGGATTCTCTGCGCCATCTACGCTTGCTTGCTCTTCCGAGTGTTGCCTGAGCTGTTCCAGTGCAGCATGTGTGTTGAGATAAATGACCTTAAAACATCTCATTCGATATGTAACATGCGCAAACTCTCCCGTAGCTACTCACCATGGGAGTGTGCTCTGCGACGTAAGCGCTATTTGTTGGACCGATCAACTCAACAGACGCCCCTTTCCAGCTGAACACAGCCACACGTGTATCTAAAAATAACAAATCCTATCAGGTGAGGAAAAATTATGGCTCACAATTTCAAAAGCTATTCAATCTTACTTGGAGGAAATGCATACTTCTTATGCATCTCTAATTCAGTTCCAAACACCTCGGCCCTTCCTTGAACCAATTCAAGGACAACTTCAGTGTTGCCAACCTAAAACGGTAAACCTCTTCAACGCAAGACAAAAAGGAAGAAAAAAAGCCTAGTTTAAACATGCCTCAAATCTCAGTTCGTGGTCTTCTTTGAGAGAAAACTCCTGCAGTTTCGGCTCCTCCGACATGACAAAGTCCACTGCAATGGGTAAATTTTTAAAAAAGTTCTCACTCCAGCTTATTCTTCATGTAATAAAATGACCAATGATGGAGAACAGAAAGAAAACGAAATTTTACAAAACCAAAATACGCGTTGTGTGCATTCGAGTCGGCATTTGCTGTGAATGCACTGCTTGCACTCCACCTGACGCGCAAAAATTTCGTTGCAAATGTTTGATAAATAAACTGCAATCTAACTGTTCTTGCTTAAGTTCTTCTGTAAACAATTGCCTTTTATCGAATTGTTATTGTTTATTCTCTGAATCATCTTATCACTCTTTCCCTTTACATGTCCTCTCATCTGGGTTGAAAGTGAAATTGCTTTGAATGTGTTGCAAGTTGAAGCATTTTAGTTATGGCAACCGTAGTCTCTCAAGTTGCTGTGAACTTAGAAAAGCCAGTTGATCGAGAAAAGGTAAGAGTTTTTTAATCTTCAATTCAACCTTTGCGTAATATCGTATGTTTTAGACCTGTCCACTACTTTTACGAGTTTTCTGTGCTAATGGAAGGCATAATCCAATATCAGATTACATGAGAGGTGGAGTTCCGGCAAATGAACTCCAAATGTACACTTGGTAAGTGTTCTCTTCGCTTGCCTTTCATCGATCTAGCTAAACATAGATATTTAAGGATGGATTGCACTCTCCGAGAACTCACATCCCTTATCAAAGAGGTAAATCCTGATGCTCGCCGTCGTGGAACCACTTTCGATTTTGCAATAGGTCAGTGAATTTTTGCTTGTAATCCTACTATCTGAGGGCTCATCATTTCACGAGAACATTTCTGCTCACCTTTTTTTCTTTTCGAAGTAAGATTCTTTCTTATTCGGCTATTGAAAAGCAATATGATGATCGACATCACTTCTTTCAGTTTCAAGTGACGTGACGGAATCATGTCTTAGTTTTACCACTCTCCTAATTTCATTCTGAAATGTTCTCCCTGAAAACGTAACTGTTCTCCCAGTAGATTTTACTTGCATACTATTTCGAGTATTGAAAGCGCATGTTTTGACGTATTCAGTAGCCCCTGATCGTATGAACAATCGTTACACCATCCGTGACATCGGTAACACTATGAACGGTCAAAGAGGCGTTGATGATGGGAAGTCGGTAAGACCTTCTCCTTTTTTGATTTTCTACAGATTCCAAAGGTACAATTATGATTGCAGAGTGTTACGCGTTTAGTATATAAGCGCCCAATTACAGTGTGTTTGGTAATACGAGTATAAAACTTTTTTTAATTTGCTAAGTAATTATTACGAGGGTACCAGATCATAGAGAAAGCCGTCCTCGTTTACAGCTTACCATGATCTGACTCTAAATGAAAGGGAAACGCCTGCATCATCAAGTGCTAGTAATTCAAAAAAAAAAACAAAGAAAAACGTGAGGCCGTCAATCTAAATTATTTAGCTGTCAATGTGCAAGTTTGAGATTGGCGATTTCATTGACGTTGCCATCACAATGCCCGGTGTTGGACCCGGTCCAGTGAGGAGGTTTGTTTCTTTGTCAGCCTAATCTCAATAAAACTTATTACGTCATAGGTATGGATCTTTTGGTATGAGACGTAATGGAGACGATTTTGATAGGGATAGAAGAAGATTCAGCCCTATTCGGGATAGATATTGAAGTGATCTCTGCGCATCTTTTTAAGCTTGAAAAATTTCTTGCTCTATGAGCTTTCCCCATTGTTATGACTTTTTGTTGTTTCGAGTTCGAGCTCGTTTTTCTGTTCTTCAAGAATTCTCAGTACTGACTATAAGTACTTCTCAGTATGTCTTTTCGGTAATGTTATGGTTATTTATGCTGTAATAACTGCCGAAATAAAATCCTTTGGGCTGAGTG